GTTCATAAGGAGTTTCAAATTTTAAAAATAATAAATTATGCAAACTTCACGTGCAGATGCAGCAATGCCCCAGTGAGGAGTATTAGCAAAAGACAAAGGCAAATGAAAGATTCACTAACCAAAGACCAGCATGACTCAATAAAATAGAAAACAGAAAATGGAAACTTATAACTATTCTCTTCTTGCATTCCTTCTGTACATAAAAGAAAGCCCTATGGAATGAGGGCATTGATTAATGCAAGAGAAAGCAAAGGAAGCAGTTGAGGCAGCAATGAAGTGAGAGGAAGATATATTCCCATTCTTGACTAGACTTAGAGAGGTTTATAATCTGATAGCTGTTTGGGATCACTTCTTGACCATGGGGTTTTGGAAAGCAACATCACTAATTTAGATCAATGCAAACCACATGTTCTTTCCTACCTTATTTTTCATGTATAGAAACCACAAGGTTTAAGTTATATGGATTGAGGTTTTACTAGTTTTATTTGGAATTTCTTTCAGAAAGATGTCCTTTTTGCGTTACCTCATCAAATTCAATATTTTATAAATTCAAATTCCCAGTTTTGCGAAGTTTCCATACAAAACTTGTCTCATAATTGCAAGTATACACAAAATAAAAAAAACCACTTACTGCCATATCCTACCTTACCTTCATATTGTGTTAAATTTATACTAAATCAGTATTAATGCTTCCAAGAGCTCAGGAGCTATCCAGGATGAATTCAAAATTTGTTATACAGCAATTAGCTGCCACATCCTCACCATACCTTCATCCTACTTTTAAACTTGTAATGCAAGTGTACTGCCATAAATTATCAGTGTTAACGTTTAAAATTTTTCTGCAAGCAAAAAAGGTATTTTGAAAAACTCAGGTCCGCTACAAGAACCTAAAAGTCATCACCTACTACACACTGTAATACTTACATGGATCACCTAAACATCAACTTTAACATATTATTCTATATTGAAGTTAAATAGGCAGAAACCTTGCAATATTCTAAATAAATCGACAATTACCTTGGAGTTGAACAGCGAGTAAAGAATACTTCAAATTCTTTTAACATTATACAAAGATATGTTGAAAAAAAGTTAAATATGCGTTCACCCAGCCATAACCCCGGGTAAATTCATCTCTACCAAGTTTATAGACTTAATGATTTAACTAATCCAAATAAACAAATTTACAGTGGAAAAGAAGAGAACAATAATGTAGACACTCCATATGATAAAAAGAAAACAAAAGCACAAGAAAACAATAATTTAGATGCTTCCATAATTGCAAAACCTTTAAGAATACATCATCAACATTAAATCTAGACATCTTCCTATCCTATTAAAATAAATTAATGCACAAAAAGAGTCTCATTTAAAAATGTTTCCATTGAGCATTCAAGCAGCCATATCTGGCTGCGTAAATAAGCACACATTACTAAATCATAAACATTCAATTTAAAGACAGATGACTGTATAATTTGAAATATACCTCATAGATTTACATATGGACAGTGAAGAAAGGAAATTAATTCATCCATCTCCAGATGATTATGCCTTTCCCTTGGTGACAACAACATATCACCACCGTTGATATGGATTAGGTGGTTAGCTTGCTGAGGTTGTAGACATCAAGGACATGGTCACTGAAATTATTTTACCAATGATTATGATTATGACAATCAGTTGTCAATATAGTTCAATATATCTCAAACATTGAATGCCAAATGCTTTTACACATCAAGGACATGGTAAACCCAAATTATCCTATTGATGATGTGATAATAACATATAAATCAATAAATCATCTAAACAAGACTGCCAAAAGATTAAACGCAACAAGGATAAAGGCCCCTTAAATCATTTTCGCTTGAGAATAAAGTTAACTCAATTAACGTAAGTCACCAAAAAATTTTTACAATATTACATTAATATCAACGAGAAACACCAAAACTAGCACCATAGTTGGCAAGACTGATTAATAACTTAACAGAAAGACAAAAGGGGGCAAAAAAGAGAAAAGAACAAGAAACAAAAGGATGAATTGAACAGAACAATATTATTGAAATGTACACTTACATTTACTGTGTTCCAAAAAAGTAAACCAAAACTTTCTTCCAATCAGATGAATAGCCCCAATTATCCGGCTCACTTACCTGCTGCAAGCAATCAGAAACGTAAACATAAGGGGTAATGATTATACTGCTTAAGGAAAAAAAAATAAAGAAAAAGGGGATAGAGAAGAAAATAGAAGAAGATAAAAAGTATAAAGGCAACAGAATAGGTTAGTTGGGAGTACCAAGAAATCAAAAGTAAAGAAGTTAAATATAATAACAACAACTTAAAGAAGAAATAAATCCGCAGCCTCTAAGTAGTTGTTAGCAGAATAGAGAAACCAAGAATTCGATTTTGCCCAAAAAAAAGTTCTGCCAATAAACTAGCCAACAGGAGTTCTAATTTAATTTTCTAACTAATGCATTCAAGATTCTGCATTAATAAAATCCATGCACATCATCCTGTTTTGATTTGCGAAAAGTAATTTCAAAAAATATCTAAATATTAAATACGTAAAAAAAAAAAACCCAAAGAGTTCCTCCTGTTTAATGCACTACCGAAACAGAAGCAAACCCTAAATAGGAGAACTAATTATGCCACCTAAACCAACAACAAAATTATAGTCAAAACCCCACATGCAACCACAAACCGTAACGGCAATAACATATTTTCTAACATAACAAAGATTTTCAATGCATAAACGATAGAAAAGAAAGAGATATTGATATAAGTATTGGCATACCGTGGCAGGCCAAGCAGGGAAATCTTTGACTATAGCGAGGACAAGATCGCCGACTTTCCATTGGCGGCAAGCAGCGATCGCAGCCGCCTTACTGGCGCCTTTCCTTCAGCTGGACGCCATCGGAGAATATATTAAACAATTATCCAAACCTCAAAGGCACGCCAAAATCGCCCAAAAGGCGTAACACTTTGGTACTCTCTCGCGTTCCGGCGCAACACTTTGGCACGAAATTTTTAAGGCATTTGAAACGCCGCCGATTCAAAGTGAGTAAGCAACTCGGTCTGTTAAAAAAAACCCTAATTTTTTTGTGGGTTTTTTTGAAACAAAAATAGGGAATATGCAAAGATATCGAAATGGTGCGATGACGAGAGTGCTAAAGTACACGGATGGGGTGTAGGTTAAGTAACAGTAGGAAGGGAAAAGGGCTAAAATGCGCCGGTAGGGTGAGAGGCAGTGTAGGTTAAGAGTGATTGACGGAATCTAGCGGGGAGGCTTAAGGCGTATGCAAATCCACGTGACTTACCCAACTGGACTGACGACGGGATGCAACAAGCGCATTAATCGTTCAAATCTTAAGGATCATACTTTGGAGTGGGCTATCTCAACTCAGCCGGTTGGTGTTCTCACTTGTGAGTCACTAAACCTTGAAAATAAATAATATTCTTTATTTATTATAGAGGTATGGGTTGGTCACTGGGCCTATTGGTTATTAGTCCATGTAAATTTGGGGCCCATCTAAACTTTTTATTATTTTCAAAGGCCGGTTTGGCTCACGTTTGTTCTTCAATGATGGTGTCAAAAACTTTTCTTTTATCCCTGCTATAAAACGCAAATGAACAAACCATTTTTTATTTCTTTTTATTTTTTGTGGTTAGAACATAAAGGGAAGGTTTTTAATAGAATTTTGTTTGAAGTTAAGGTGTAACTATTATTAGTGGAGGAATTCCGAAATTCCTCAATGTAACGTTAAATAAAAAATTTTCAATTTTGTGATGAAATTGAAAAAAAAAAATCTAATCTACTTTCAATATTGGGCATCCTATTGCTATACACTATTTAATTAAATTGTCAAAAGGCTGTTAAAACTAATGGGATTAATATGAAATTAAAAATCATTCTCTTCCCTTTTTTGGTTATATTTTATTATTAGATTAAAATTAAATTTATGACTAATTTAAATCAAAATAATAACTTTAATTTTAATCATTTTAATCTAAAGATAAAAAATGTAAAACTTACATTAACAAAAATGAATCATTCCCCTTATTCTATTATTAGTACAAAATGCACATATGAACTAAGAGAATTATGCGAGCCAATTTTCGGTTTCTTTTATTACTTTGTTATGGGACATGGATGGGAATGGGATTGGGATGTACCAGGCCTTGCTACACAGTTCAAAATTAGTTCGAACGGCGGCCAAAATCCTTGTCTAAAAAAGTCAGCAGTTATCTCGCCAGTCGCCACCACCATTGCAAACTAGTTCATTGCCTATTGAATCTATCAAATTCAACCTTCTCGTCTATAGCATTAATATCTCTAAAACGTTAGCAAAATCCTTCCAACTACCAGGCATTAAGCAGGAAAAGTCTGCGATAGCCAAAGAAAACTAACAATGGTGATCTTGCCGAATCCATGCTCTATCAAATTGCAGCCGAATAACAACCCATTTCCCATGCCAGGTTTGGTGCCCATTGGCAGAGGGAAACATCTATATACTCCACTCAAGAGTGAAGCAACAACTGTTTTTTGTTCAATCCACCGGAACCTAACATGTCTAATATCTGAGTTAGTGGATATATACAATATTTTAGAAAACAGTCCTTTAATTCGTCCACAAAACAAAACAGGTTTTCATGTTTTCATGATTTTATTAAGCACATAAGTACCACGAGTTGAAGTTTTGAGCTAATTTTATTTCTTTTGCTGACAAATCATTCCCTCAAGGAAGAAAAAACTTTGGTCTTTCAAGCTGCATTCTGCATTTTTATTTATCCATAAGACAACCATAATAAATCATTCCCTATTACATCATGCTTGACCTTTCAAATTTTAAGATGAAAAAAATTGCCTCGTACGCCGTACTATCAAAAGAAATAAATCTTGAAATGATGTAAACAGATACAGCACTATTCAAAATTGTAAGGACAATACCAAAAACATGTTGCTCTCTCACTGAAAAAACTAGCTAACTAAAAAGAGCAGGACCATGTGGCCAAAAAAAAATAGAGCAGGAGCAGAGTGTGTACCAGGTGTATCCATAAGCTCATCTATTCAGAATGTGCAGTTCTTAGTTCACCAACAAAAAAATATGAAAGAGATCATTGCCTGAAAGGAAGATCCAGAAAAGGATGCTGCATCTTCAAAGGTGGCTTGAGATTGTTGCTAACTTTTTCTTTCCTCTCACAGTTCATGTCAGGGTCTTTTATCTTCCAATACTCACACACATCTTTTGCAGCCAGGTTTAGCAATAACTTTGAACTGGAATTACAATTCAGCTGCAATAGCTGTTTTTTGGTCACTTTGTTTCTTTTTCTTTTCACTTTGCTTCTGTGACTTATTCAAAGTTTGGTCAGCCTTGGAGACAATTTTAGAGATTGTGAATCCAGCCTCTTCAAAAACCTGTGCTCTATGAGGAATCAAAGCATTGCGAAGAATAACATCAACTCCATCATAAGTCCAAACCCCTAATACTGCCTCTCCTTTAAGTCCAATAGCAAACCAACCAATACCAGCAGCAGCAATGTCGGCTGAACTCGAATCCCAACTACTACCAGAAACATGGAATTCCTTTCTCACCCAACTGCCAAGCTTTTCCACTCGTTCCTCCCCAATTGGTGGCTAAAGGAAGCAGCAGCACAGAAAGTGTCAAGGGTAACATTTAAACAACCAAAATGCTGTAGAAAAAAAGTTATATGAAAAATGCAGAGCTTCCAAAGGCTTCAATTCAAGATATTCAAATACAAATTTTCCAGGAAAAATATGAGTAATGCAAAGTGAAAATTTAAGATGAAGCGGAATGGAATAAAAGCATTTCAGAAGTGCAGCACTGTTATCAAGGGGAAGATATTACTCCATTGTAGCTCACCATACCTGTAACTGACGACCAAAATGATCCTCTAGTATTCTTTGAGCATTTTCAGTTCTCCCCATGTGTAATGGTAGATAAGGAGACGCCCAAACTGTAACATATAGAGATTCAACAGATGACTCTTCAATATCCAACCTTATTAGTCCAGCTATATGAACTGTGTTACCTGCCTGTCACATTCAAATATATAAATATTAGCTTTAGCCATAAAGCATAAATCTATTAAAGGAAACAAAAACTAAAAACCAGAATTTTTGAGAAGCATGCCCCTATTTTCCCATTACCAAAGAACATCTGAAACATCAAGCAGCACAAACAAATCAAGAATCCAACACGACCAAAATTAGAAACAAAATCATTGGGAGACCATAGCAAGAGCAAATTCTGGCTAAACAAATTAGGTAACTAGCACATTTGATAGGAGAAATTATATGACACATTGACTAATGCTACTTATTTTGAGACTAACCTTGATTCTATACGTCCTCGGTTTCAATTCCTTACTAACATAAACAAGCTTCTGCTCTTCCCCAGTCAACCTAGTTGTCATCTGATGCGGCTGCAAAAGACCCGGAGTATCAAATAATTTTGCCTGCTCCGGCAGCACCCCTTCCACTCTTACTATCCCCAAAGTTGTCCCAGGCACTGGCGCCTCCGTTAAGAAACCAATCTTCCCACCAAAACACTTCCCAATGGCATTGATCAATGTACTCTTCCCAGCATTCTGGGCACCCACTGCCCACACAGTCCCTCTAGACCCTGCCATCTCCACAACATCCTCCACCAAGCTCTTCACTCCCCAATCCCTCACAGGACTCACAAAATGTAATTTTGCAATCTTACTAGCTCCACCCTCCCTTGCTCTCTGCCTCACCCAATGTTCAAATCGCGTAGGTGACAAAGAGCTCGGTAAAAGATCAATCTTAGTGACCACAAGCACAATCCTAGGCACGTTTCCAGATTTCCCTTGTTTCCAAGCTGTATAATTCTCTTCAGTTACATCAGATACAAGTTTTGCTACTTTTCTAGGAAATGACCCATCAAAATCTGATGCATCAACCACCATTAACACCACTGATCGAGCTCCAGACACCGATCCCAATCTCCTCCCAACTGTATGATCGAAATCAAATTCTGGCAATAAATTCTCCACCGTTGGATCCTTCACCTTGCCATAGTGGCGCAATGAGTGGCACCTAGTGCAAACCACAGGTTTTTCAGGCATTTCTTTGTCTAGGTTTTCTTCTTCAAGGTCAGGGCTTTCACCTTTTTCCTCCAAAATCAGGCCTTTCTTGAGAAAGACTGTGAATTCATGTTCCATTGACACAGGTTCCAAGTGGCGAGAATGTGTTTTGAGCATCAGGTCCTTTGTCTTCGTTGGGGGCTTGATGAAGAAACCAGGGTGTTTAGGGTCGGAGTCCTGCATGTGAACCCCACATCCTGGACAAACAACATTGGGGAGAGTAGCAGCATCATAGTTTCCATCTCGGTTCAAGGTCAAGGATTTAGAAGATGAGGGTTCCTGCTTCTGCAGATGTTTTTGAAGCTTTTTTGGCAGTGATGGTGTGGCTGTAGATTGAAAAGAGAAATGGTTAGTGAAGAAGAGGAGGTGTGGAGACTTGTTGGAGATTTGGGACTTAGTTGTGGCTATTAGTGGAAGTAAAGTTTTTGCTGATGTAGTAGAAGTGAAGTGCTCTGAAAAGAAGAGGGAGAGAGAAGAGACAGGTTTGAGTTTTGATGGAGAAAGATTTCTAGCTCTAACGATCATTTCTCTTTGCTTGCAATTGCTATGAGTTTCTTCCTTTCTCGGTGCTACTAATTAAGGACCAATGTGCATTGCACGTGAGACCTTCAAACAAAGGTGAAAAAAATGTTTACGGCTTGAAGAACGCAGGATACAAAGAATAATAATTTAACTCAAAAAAAAGTTCAGTAATTCATATTCCTTTCAAACATACAGTTCCTCTGCATGACATATGGCAATCCTTAAAGAACAATACAGCATAACACAGACAACACTCAATTGCATGGAACACCCACAAAAACAAGAAAAACTATATCACAATTACTCTTAATATGTTTCCATCAACAATTAAACAATGCAAAGAACATAACTAAAAATATAGCGTATGATACCTAAATCAACTTAGTAATGGCGTTGGGGTACTTGGCACATAATTTGGTCACTCCCTGAAGCAAATGAGTGATGAGAAGCTCATTTTGCCCTCCAGCAGATCTTAGGCTTTGTCTTTGCATAAATTTGCTGTCAGAAATGAAAAATAAACAAAATCAAAAGAGAATAACATAACAAAAAAATCAACCCGAGATAAACATGAATGAGATAAAAAAATTTTGGCAAAACACTTACCTTCAAACGCTGGCAGAGTATGGATAGCCCAAGCCTGCAGCTGCTGGGATGGGATGGGGAGAGAGAATGACAGTCTGAGAAACAGAGAGAGGAAGGGGGCGCCGAAGGGTCTAGAAACTATGGATCGCCGAAAGGGGTGGGTCCAGAGACGAAGGGTGAAAGAGAGCAGGGAGGGAGGGCAGCGGAGTAGGGATGTAATTGAGAATCTGAGAGACAGAGAGAGGGAGGAGGCGTAATTGGTCTGGCTCTGGCCGTTTGGAAGATTGGGTCCTGCCTTCTGGGAATGAGTTCGGGACTGGATTTCGGAGTCGGAGAGTGCGAGCGCGAATTCATAAGTGAGGCGGCTTAAATTTAGGGGTGTAATTTATGTTCCAGAGTCTTTTGGGTTTTTTAGCCTTTTAGTTTTGTTTCAGGGTAAAATTATAGTTGTTAATTGTAAATAATTCTTGGCGAAAAATTAAAAATAATTTAAAATATATCAAAATATAAAAATTAAAATAAATTAGATAAGTCACTGAAATTAAATATTTAAATATTTAAATTTGATTCACTTGACAACTCAAATTTTAAACTCATATTAAGAATGATCGAATCAAATTAAAATATTTCTCGAGATAAATCTAAATTAAAAATAATGTTTGAGAGACGAATACAATGTCGAACGAGGCCTTATTTGGGTACGAATGATCTGCATTATGCAGTACGCTCCACGACCGGGACCAGTCTACAATGGACTTGGTATCCCTGATGCCCCTCCATTGAAATGCAGCGTCGACCAGCCCAGGTTCGATATTCAACATCCAAACAATGCTAAATGTAGACTTGACATTGGCTGACCCTACCTGACCGTGCTACCCTAAACCGCAAAGAAACCGACAATGGGCCATCTCTTCTGTTCATTTGTTTGTCTCTCTGACACGCATCAAGAGATAAGAAGTAGAGGGTTTGACGTTTGAATTTGAGCCCGACTGAGAGATGAGAGCCGTGGGCGGCACCGCACCATCAAATCATTTGATTGACAATCCGCTTCTTATTTTGGTAAAGAAAAATAAAAAATAGATAAATTATTCAATATTTTGAATTAAAATAAAATATATCATATGTAATAATAAAAAATAAATAATTATAAATTATGTATTTAAAATAATTTTAATAAATAATTATTGATAATATTTAAATTTAAAATTTTTTTATTAAAAAAAATAAATTTTAATCAATTAAATTTAAATATATTTTTAATCAAATATAAGTTTTAATTTTATGTACTTTTATATTTAATTTTAAATTTAATAAGAGCGCATTTTTTCACCGTCAAATAAAATAATAAATTTTTTATTATTTTTTAAGTAGTAGAAATGATGCTTTGTCATTATCTCTATCTTAAGAACGAGAGATTTCTTCTATTTCTGAGACTTTTCTCCCTTCTTCCACTAAATGCATTTAAATTAAGCTGACACAGATTTGTAATTATCTATGGAAAAACTAATAATATATAGATTTGAGTATCTAATTGTGTCAATTTTGATGTAAAAGCAAAAGATTTTAATGTTTTAATTATATCAGTTACATTATCATGTGACCCGTGGCCCTCAATTATTTCGACCTGTTAGCTAGCTGGCCAACAAGCAATTGCTTAAGAATGTTTGTCACCCCAATCCCAAACTTTATAGTCTTCTTTTTGTCCAATCCCAAACTATAAAGATAAGACACTTTGAAAAAGGACATTGTTAAATCACCGATGCATCACCAATCATATTTTTATGACAACATTTTTAATTGAATGTCTAGGTTTTTTAACATGTCTAATTAACTAAAATTATTTATGTAAATACTGATTTAAAATAATTAAAATGCTATGAAATAATACCAAAATAATCCTAAAGTTTTTACTAGAATATGAAGTTTTATTAAATTATAATTACAACTCATTAAATTTTGAAAATCAATAAAAAAATTTCAATTGTCAAACTTTTTTTAAATAACATTTACTCGTATTTTTTATCAAATTCATGCAAATATATTTAAATAAACATTTTTTTATAAATTACAGCATCTAATTAAAAATTTTTAACAAAAACTAAATAATTTATATCATAAAAAATTTAATTGCAATAAAAATAATCATAACATGTTTTTAATAAAGTTTGCAAGTTTATTTGATATTATCTCAAATGCTATTTGAAAAAGTTTTATATTCAATATATTTCATTAAATTTGAAAAAATCCTTTATTTTCAAAATTTTAGATATTATCCTAATCAATGTCTAACAAATTAATACTAGTATATATTTATATTTATATCCAAAATAAACAATTTTAATCTTTTGTCAAAAAATCTAAAAAAAAAATGCAGAAAGAAGAAAGAGAATCAATCTGCTAACGGACTATAAATGAAGAGGGCTCCAATATCCTGAAAAGAAGCAAACTGATAGACCGATCATTGACTCAAAGCTCATAATTTATTAATTTGTGCTGCTCCTCACAAAATACTTCCTCAATGGTCGGCATCTCCATAACCTGGACCCACGTGCTGCTCACACGTCAAAGAACCTTCCCAAACCCTTCAACAAATGGAAGCAAAACACTTGTTCTCTTGGTATCTTTCCACGTGTCTTGCAATTACTACTACAGTACTACCAGTTGAGTTCAATTTCTTATTCGTAAAAGTGCAATATGGAGCACTCGTGTCCCGTACTCAACTTCCATCCTACACGTCGAACTCTCCAGATATTTTTGAGCCACGAAAAAAGATATTTCCGATTTTGGGGATCTTTTCGACACGTGGAGGCCGATGCCCACTCTCAATCTAGCAGCTGACGTTATTCATCGATTCTCCATCACGGCATCCGGCAATGCTTTTTCGACACGCGTCACCCTTTCTTCAATTGAATACAACCACGTGTTTTAGGATCTAGAGCAGTAAACCATCCATTTTCACGCGACACGTGTCCTTCATTTGAGTTTCGGACAAGACAACGGTATTTGGGCGCTTTTAATTACCATCGCTATCCCGATCCTCCATCATTCGTGTTCTCCCCCAAAATGAGTGCCACGGCCACCCAGAGACGTAAACTTAATCCACTGAGTCATGACGCCAAGCCGGATGACTCGGGGATACTGAACGAGCCCATACTACTCCTCGTCTTTGAGTCCATAAAATGGGATTTACGGGTCCTTTGCTTAACTGCCTCAGTCAACCGCAAGCTCCGAGCTATAGCGAAGCGCTTACTGTGGCGAAAACTCTGCGTGTATCGCGCACCGCGCATGGTAGCAGCATTGGCTAACGGCGCCCTCAATGGAAGAATAGGTGGTGGATGGGACGCTCTCGCGAAGCTCATGTTCTTCTGCTGTGGTTGTGAGCCAACTCGCCATTTCAAGCTGAGTCGGCCTACTCCGGGTCATTTTGTGAGAGCTTCTCGGTTTTCGAAGACTTCGGGTCGGAGCTTCTTGACCAAAAAGTGTCGGGGTGATTTGTTGTTTATAAGTGACCCGTGCGAGCATCCAATGGGGGATAAGGAAGACGATTTGGGGATTTATCGAGGGTTATTTCGGGAATTTATGAGGTCCAATACGAGAGCCTGCTTGATCAGACGACAGGTGGCGTTCGACGAGAGATTGAGGTGTCCTTATTGTGGAACCCGAGTGTGGAGCATGACGACTGCTCGACTCGTGCCCAAGAGCGCTGCTAGGCGACTTGGGTCACGTGACGGAAAGTTGGAGTATTTTGTTTGTGTGAACGGGCACTTGCATGGGACTTGCTGGCTCGTGCCTCTGTCGTCCGATGAAGAGGAAGAGGACGATGATGATGAGAGTGAAGATCTTGACGGTGATGGTGAATTCAACGGGGATGCCTATAACCATCGGCGGTTACAAATGGAAGCACGAGCTCGTTAGGGGAAGATGTTTTAGGAGATGGGCCCATTAATTAATTGCTACTGGTAAGTGTCATTGATTGGTGCCTTTTGTTATAAAAAAAAAGTGGAAACCATAATAAATTTTAAAAAAAAAAAAGGCAAAAGCATCGATCTATTACTTTTTCTCTGTGAAATACGACGTGTTTTAAGACAGATCAGATTCGATTAGAGAGACTGAAAGATCAGGTTCGGTCTCTGTTTTTTATTGTGAAATATGACGTGTCGAAGAGGAATTGGGTTCCAGAGATATGGGCTGGCCTCCATCTCATTTTCTTGAGAATGAGAAATGATGACCTGGATTTTCATGTGGGGGAGAATTTGTACGAGCTGCTGTATACTGTACAGAAGGGTTTTTTCTTAAATCAAAGTCTTTTAAAATCTTTATTCTTAAAATAAGATAATTTTAATTTTATTTCCCAAATTAAGGTATTTAAGCCCTATCAACATGTCATATCATCTTTATCGTTATTAATTTATACAAAAATTAATAAAAATATTTTTTTTATAACTTAGGATTTTATTAATAAGTAAAAAGAAAAATTAAAACGGGAGGCCAATAACACAGAGAAATACAGAGCTTGGGTATAACCAAGCAAGATTAGAAACATACCAGCAAACAGGAACTGTTAACCATGAAGCCATGAACATCTCAACTCAATATATCGACTCTTGCTTTTGCTAAATCTTTTGAAATCAATTTTATGAAATTCCATTAAGCAATTTAGCAGATAAACCTTCAAAACTCCCCAAGTTCTTCTAAAAAAAAATTTGAAGTTGAAAAGGTCGGGCACTTTTGGACCCTCACCATTTCAAATACTAACTTTGAGTTCTTCCATAGAAAAGAGAATCTCCATGCCACCATCTTCACGCACAGACAACAATGTGAATTTCAAGTTAGTTACCGCATGCTTATGCCACCAATCAGCTGTAAAATGTTCCTTGGAGAAATTGAAAACCAATGCTTTACCAGTTTTATGCTCTAAGATCCCCGTACCATTATCAACAAGTCCTAAGATGGAACTTCTTCTTGCTTTTGACTCTGATATTACTATTAAAGAATTAGTGAAATTACAACCTGAAATTGAAATTAAAATTTATTTTAAATTAATTATGATATATTTTTTTACAAAATACCGCATCGATGCATATTTTTTAGGTTTCTTATATATTATTTAACAAGTTATTAAAGTATTTTTCTTAAACATATATCATAATTAAATTTAAAAACAACTTAAAATGTGTCTATTACAATATTTTAACAAAAAAACGCCTTAATTGAATAACTCAATTATGATGTTTATTTCATAAAACATCATAATCAATGAGTAACAATCTCATAGGTAAACTATCATTTAAAATATTAATTTAAATGCCAACAAAATTAAATGACACTTTATAATAAGTTAATAGCACGCGTAATCCTTAAATTTTATATCATATTTTATATTAATCTTTAAATTTTAATAAGTTATAATCGAATCCTTAATTACGCAAATGTATGTCAATGTGGTCTCTCTATCTACTAGACCGTTTAAAGTAACGATAAATCTTA